CCCTTGCTGATGCCATTCCTTCCCCAGGGGATGCCAGCTCCCATGAGGCCAGGGCCTCTGCTATTAAACTCCTAGTCAGCCTTTGGGGTCCCTCTCAGTGAGGTCTTGCTGGCTTTTCCAGCAAAAATGGCCTCTACTTCTGGGACACCCACAGAACTTTCTCAGAAGCCACACACACCACTTCCCATGTGCCGCGCTAGGCCATAGTTACACATGCTAGACTTCACATGCAGCATGGGCCGGACTGTTTCTCTAAATGACTAGCATGATAAGTATTTTTGGCTTCGTAGGCCATATGGCTTCTGTTGCAACTACTTAGTTTTGCCGTGGTGAAACTGCCATTGATGCTCTGTAGACAAGTAGGCCGGTTGTAAGCCCCAAAATCATTTTACAAGAACAGGTGACAGGCCAGGTTTAGCCCCTAGACCTGACCTAGACTGTCCCAAGCATCTCACACAGCACCTGCTGTACAAAGGCAAGAACCCGTGAGTGAGTGATGTGTACTTGTGTGTGGAGGAGAGGCCTGGTTGCTCAGATATTTTGGGGTGCTGCTTAAAGAGGCTGTGTGGTGGAGGTGTCCTGGTGGTATGCTTAGAATCGGGACAGAGGTCAGAGGGGCTTCAGTTGTTTCTTTGGATCTACTCATTCTCCCCTTCAGGATTACAGAGACTTTGACAGAGTTTCTGTAACTGGCATTGCTACCCTGTTCCTGAGAACCAGCATCCCCACCATCAACATGGAGAACAAGTCTATGTGGGTGAGTGAGCATGTTCACGCACAGCAGTGCCTGGCCAGGTGTGGGAGGCAGGGCATCTTTGCCCAGTACTTCCACACACGTTAGCTAAGGGGTTCTCAAAGCTGGTAGCACCCGGGAATCCTCTGTGGAACTTCTGTTATCTGGACCGTACAGTTGAATGATGAGATCTGTGTCTGTGGAGGAATGGTATCAGATATTGGAGCTGGGGTGCTTTAAGAGCCCCCCCATAATGTGCAACTAGGGGTGAGAATCTGTTTGATTAGCTCAATATGTTGTGAAAATGTTCCATGTCCATGTAAAAAAGGAAAAGTTCCCAAACTTGAATTTGAGTTACATCTAGAAGAACATGACTAAAGTGCTGACATTTTGTTATGAAAAAGATGTAACTGGAGATATGGAGGAGATACCTGATGTTGATGAATGGAGAGTTCATTAACTAATATGGTACATTCCCTAAACTAAAGAAGTTGGAGGAAGGACTAGAAAGATCAGTAGAGCTGAATAGAAATTCACTTTATGATACAGATGGGCTTTTTAATCAGAGAAAGATAATTGATTAAGCAGTGTTGGGAGAACACACTTGGGAAATAAAAACAAACATCGTAAACATATTAACTATAGGAAATAAAACCTCATGTGTCAGAAGAAAATTCAAAAAATAATTTCATAGTAATCTTTAGTTGTAGGGAAATATTTCATTAAACCCAGAGGTCACATAGGGAAAATTCAACCAATTCCACAATATGAAAATTTAAATCATATGTAGCAAAAGAGATGAGAGAGAAAATAAAAGGACAAATGAAATACTGCTTTTTTTTAAAAAGTTGACAGCACATATCACAAGGTTTTGGCAAATTTTTTTTAATATGTACAAAAAGGGAAGCAAGTAGATATGGGAGTGAGCTATGAGTGTTCAATTCAATGGTAAAGAAATAAAAATAGCAAACAAGATTTTTCCTATTTAACTGAAAAGAAATAGTACTGCTTTGTGCTAATGAGGTAGAAGGAAATGTTATTGATTGGAATATAAATTGGATTATTTTGGGAGGTGAATTTGTCAATATCTATTAAAATTTAAAGTGCACATTTCCTTAGATCTAGTGCACACTAATATATCTTTAGGAGCTAAAAGGACAAGTATGTGAAGACAAATATATAGGGATATTTTAAAGCATAGTTTATAATGGCATAAAATTGGAAATATGCTAAATGTCCTGAATAGGAGGTTGGCTCAATAAATTATGTTCCATTTTCTGCCATGACTATGCAGTCATCAGAAGAGTGAGGTTAATCTTTATTAATTGACATCGAAAGGTCATGATGATGTTAAGTAAAAAAGGAAACAGGTCTTAGAAGAGTGTGCAGTACACAGATATCTCATTTATGTGGAAGAGAAAAGTGTTTATGTGTAAAATACACATTTAAAAAAACGTGGAAAGCAATTCAACAAAATATTGAAGATACTTATTTCTAGAGAGTAAAATTATTGGGAGTCTTTAATTTTCTTTACAATATCTGTAATTTTTAAATAAGTAATTTTTTGAAGATTTTTTTTATTACAAAGTTTATTTTTACATCATTTTGCACATTTTTTTTTTTTTTTACATCTCGATTGTAATCCCCGCGGGTTTCCCATCACCAAATCACCCCTGTGCCACCACCATAGTCTCGTGCATTTCCCTGAATATTTATTTTTATGTATTTATGCACACAAGAACTGGAGTATAGGCAAGAGGTGTGGGGCTGGGGGTGGGGGAAAGCAGGGGTCGAAAGGATTCATCAGAGACAGTGGGGAGCAGGACAGGCAGATGGACTGAAACACACTGCTGAGGGGAGCAGCAGGCAGACGGGAGAGGTCTGCTGCGCCATGTGGGTCAGCTCCCTGGCCGGGTAGCAAACTCATGCTGAACTCATGCTACAGTGGGTGGATAGTAGGCTACAGATAGCTTGATAGTGCTGAGACTTTAACCCTTGCGCCAATAATCAAAAATAAAAAAATAATTTTAAAAGAAATTACCAGGTATAGTCAGAAAAAAATTCTGTGTTTAAATATATATTATAATTAATATAATTTTATATAATTTATGTTATAAAATATGGTAACATATTAAACTATGTAGATGTAGGTGGCTATATCAATAGTGTAGTGGAAGAAAAAGAATGATATTCTATGCTATCCATTTTTCCTTTTTGGTAAATATTTATGAAGTGCTTGCTATGCACTAGGTTTTGCTCAGCGCCATTTATGCGTATTCAACACATCGAATCCTTACAGAAAAACAACAGAGTGGTTGAGTAACTTTCTTGAGGTCACACAGCTAGTGAATAGTACAACTGGAGCTGGAACCAGGCTGTCTGGCCTTAGAACCCATGCTTTTTTGGCCTCTCTGGTATACCATGAGACAGCCGTTAGGATCCCTTTACCAGAGAGCAGGAAATGGAGATCCAGAGATGTGAAGTCATCTCACTGTGACCACAGCGTCATCAGGAATGGACCTAGTCCCCACGCCCGGATGTGTGGGTCAGAAGCCCAGACTTCTACCTAGCTACCCCCCAGAAAGGAGAGTCTGCTCCTTGGGGCCAGGTCTGCAACTAAGAGCAGAGTAGGAGAATCTGCAGCCGTGGGCAGCGAGCGCGTCCCCGGTCCCTGAGTGCCCCCTGCTGGCGGCAGGTCAAGCTGCAGGCTCTTAGGCCTCGCTGGAGCAGGAAAGGTGGCGAGCTCCTCCCCTCTCCCTCCAGTTCTCCGTGGACATTGACTCTGAGCTGGCGGAGGAGCTGCCAGCTGAGATGGAGCTGTGGCTGGTGCTTGTGGCCGTGAGTGCGGGGCTGCTCCTGTTGGGGCTGATCATCATCTTGCTCTGGAAGGTTAGGACCCCCGCCCAGCACTCCCACTCTGGGACCTCGTGCCAGCAGACCCTCACCAACTCTCCCTTCATCCCATTCCTGACTTGCATTTCACCCGACCCGCCCCCCCACGTCCCACCCACCTTTTCCCCAGTTACCAGACTCCCCCGTCCCATCATCACCTTACCTACAGTGGTGCTCCCACCTGGGCTAAGGGGGACCTGAGCCAGAAAGGGCCACCAGGAGCTCTGGCTTGTGGCCACACCACCAAGCTGGGCCCGGAAACCGGACATCCAGGCTCCCTAGCCCTCACCCCCAGCCTTGAGTGCTGCCGGCAAGCACCTCCAGCCCCCTGATGGCCCGTCCCACCTCCTCCCCTCCGCAGTGCGGCTTCTTCAAGCGAGCCCGCACTCGCGCCCTGTATGAAGCCAAGAGGCAGAAGGCGGAGATGAAGAGCCAGCCGTCAGAGACAGAGAGGCTGACCGATGACTACTGAGGGGGCAACCCTGCCCCCAGCCCACCCTGGTAACACGGCCTCCTCCGGGCCCTCCCCTGAGCCTCCGGCTGGCTGGGGCCTCTGCTGTCCTGTCTGTTCCTCTTCTTTACGGGCCTCTGCACTTCACTCTGTCCCCAGCCCCACCCCAAACAACCGGCCACTGTCTCCCCCCACCTCCCTGGGAGAGTTCAGGGAGTCTGTTCTCACAATCCAAGTCCTGTGACCCCTTTGCCTTCTGTTGACTGGGAAAGGGTCAAGCCAGAGCTAGGTCACACCTCTGTAGACCACAAGGCTAATTCCAGAATGATTCCACAGCTCCATGCCTGCCTCCAGGGGAGGCGAGGATTGGCAGAGTCCTTCCTCCAGGGGGGCACTTTCCCTCCCGGGAGCCCCTCTGGGGTGTCAGACAGCCTTGTCAGCCGTGGTCAGTGCGTCACCCTCCCTGGCTACTCAGCCAGTACTCCGAGCACTGCCCTCTGTCTCCATCTGCCTCTCCCTCTCCTGTCTGCCTTCCTCAGCTCCTCCTTCCTCTGGGGCCTGGGGAGGGAACCTCACCCTCTCAGCTCAGCACAGGGACATGGTGTGAGTCAGGGGTCGTGACCCCTGGGTGGGGGAGGACCCGGGCATGCCAACCCCCTGGCTGGAAGCTGGACACTGATGCCTTTCTCCTCCCCCCAACTGCAGTGTGACTTCTTTAAACGGACTCACTATTACCGGATCATGCCCAAGTACCACGCAGTGCGGATCCGGGAGGAGGAGCGCTACCCGCCTCCAGGGAGCACCATGCCCACCAAGAAGCACTGGGTGACCAGCTGGCAGACTCGGGATCGATACTACTGACACGCCCCTACAGCCCCACCCCTGCCCCACCCCGTGCCCCTTCCTTCTATTTATCCTAAGTTATGCCCTGACCTTCCACTGGGGCTGCTGCCTTCGGCTGGCACCAGCAGGCTTGGGCACATACACCTCTGTGCGCGTGCATGAGCAGTCGACCACGGGCCATGGACACTGCCCAGCCGAGCACACGCAGCCCTGTGCCCTGGACATGTGGGTGCATTGCTCATGGACAGTGTTTGTGCACGCCTGTCTGTGCCGGACCCAGCCAAAGGACCTCTGCCAGAGCCGGGGGGGAAGCCCCCAACCCACCGTGGTGACACACTGGACCTGTCTTGAGCCATAGTCACTGGGTTGACTCTGCCCTCGAGATTAAAACTACTGACAGGGAGCGGCCCACGGGGCCCCAGCTGTAGTGACTGGCACCTGCCCGAGTGCAGGGGACCTGCCTGAGGTTGTCTGATTTGGAGGTTGTTTTCACAACCCTGCATGCTCAGACTCCAGAGCAGAATGAACTGGAAAGAAGGTCCCTGGGGTGACTTTCTTTCATGGATCACTTCAAAGCCCCTTGGCCCAGCCGCAGACTGCACTGGCAAGGAAGGCAGCCTGAAGGAGCAGAGGGACGAGCCACGAGACGGCCCGCACATGCCGGATAGGGCCTGCCCCGGCAGCACAGAGGGCTCTCAGCAGAGCAGGGCACCTGCTCGAGGCTAAGGAGGTGTCAGATGATACAGAGGAGATACCACTTCGCACCCACCACTACCAGCTGGGCTCCAGAGGGCCTGGAGTCCTCCGTGATATTACCAAGGGAGCGACACTTGAATGTAGGACCAGGAGGGAGCCCTGCCCCTGCCCCATCTGGCCAGACCCATTCTGCCCTCACTGACCATGCTTTGGAGGCCTCGTAGAGCTCTCAGCTGTTGTTTGCTTTCAGACTCAGCTTGGCTCTGCCTTCTGTGTCCTGAGGTTCATTCTAGAAGTTGATGCTGGTTCCAGAAAACCTCTCCTGACCCCAACCTGTTGGTAGGCCCCTCCCCAGCCCTTACCCCTTTCCACGGTACTGTAGCAGGGGAGCTGTCTCCCCCTCCTTGTGCCTTCTGTGTATATAGGCTTCTCACAGCAACCAATAAACAGCCCCCAGTTTGTACACTGCGTCTGCCTCCATGTGCCCCCGCCCCTTGTCAGCCCCAGGTCAGCCTGATGGAGGGTGTCGTCCCACAGACCCCCAGACGACACAGGAGGTTGGAGGGTGAAGATCTATGGCAAGATACCAGCTCCTGAACGTGGCAAAGCCCTAATCTGAGGGCACACTGGGTGGAATCCAAAATGGCTTCTTGGAGGACAGCGTGTTGGCTCCGGGGCGGGAGGAAGGACTTGGGGGTCGTGTGTGCAGAGTCTAGAAGAAGCAGGAAGTTCCCTTGCTGTAGAAACTGTCCTGGATGATGGTGAAGGAGGCTGGTGCAAAGGTGGAGAATAGAGAGCTCTCCCAAGTGGCTGAGTTCAGGACAGAACCTGCTTTCCAGCCATTTCTTCCTCTATCACACCCTCAGGCACCACGAGGAGGAGACAAGCCAGTGACCAAGACTGGGTCATAATATTCGTCCCCCAGCTTTGGGGCAGGAGCCCCTGGAACTGTTGTGGGATGGAGTTGCCCAGCACGAGGGCATAGCCTCGGGCCAGCATAGGCTCCCTGTCCTGGGATGCAGCCGGTTAGGCAGCAGGGAGCCTGTCCCAGGACTCCTAAATGGTGGCATCTGTTCTTCTGCTAGTTGTCCACAGGCTGTGACCTTTGTCAAGACTTCACTGAGGGCTGAAAATTACTGTCCAGAGACGTCCAGAGGCAGATTCTCAAGTCAACTACTTTGAGACCACAGGCCCAGACGATTCCCCACCTCCTGACATATTCCCCGCCTCCTGACATCCGTCTGGCCTTCCCACAGCCGACCTCACCGTGGGGGCTGTCTGCCCTCTACTCCCTCCACCAGAGCCCACCCCTCTCCCTGCCACCTTGCCCCATGTTTTCCTGTGCTGTCCCTTTCAAGTTGGCTGACAGGGGGACGTTTACTTCCTCTAGGAAAATCCAGCCCCCACCCAGAGCTCCCAGACCAATAATCAGAGACTAGAGTCTGCTTTGCAGACAGTCAAGAATTATACCCTCTGTGAGGTGTCAAAGTCCAGTTCACAGAGAGTGGAGCCCTGTGATCCCCAGCTCCTTCCCGCTTCAGAAAAGGGTGCGGTCTATATAACTACCTGCCGGCCCCACCCCCCCACCAGCCTCTGTGCTCCAGTACTAGGCCCCCAGCCTTGCGTTAGGGTGCGTGCATGTGTGTGTGTGTGTGTGTGTGTGTGTGTGTGTGTGTGTGAGAGAGAGAGAGAGAGAGAGACTGTGAGCTTCACATGCCCACACACACATTCCTGAGAATAACTTGTTTTCAGGACTGATGCTATAACATTTGTATGAAAAAAACCTAAGACAGAAGCAGCAATAGTCATTTCTTATGTAAAAGGAGCCCCCATAACCCCATTCTTCAGCTCCTTAGAGCTGCAGCACCTCCATACTGTTCCAGAGGAGGGTCTTATCTCTTATATCACTAAAAATACCCATCAAGGTGATTCTCCCCCTCCTGGGCAAGAGGCCAGATTGTACTTCCTGGGTCCTCCTGGTTGGGCATGGCCATGTGACTCCTTCTGACCAACCGCTGTGAGCAGGAGGGAAGTGAATCACTTTTGGGCTGAAATAACTCAGCGCTGGGTGAGAACCTCCCAGCTCTCCTTTTCTGCCCATGCTGTGGAAGCCTCCAGTAGGATGATGCTTCTGTCAGTCTGGGTGCCTGAGTGGCCCCCACCAACTCACACTGTAATATAGTGGGAAACTGGGGGGGATGGGATTGTCATCTCCTAACCTGTTTATCACCTCAACATCTCCTACCCTCCAGCAATCTCTGCAGAAGGGATTTCCTTACAAGCACAGAGAGCCTCATGTCACCAAGGTTCAGCTTTAAGGGGAGGATCACGGGAAATCCTTTTCCTTCTCCCATACCTATGCACAGAGATCACAATCTTTTCCTTGTGACCTTAATTTTGACAATCATAGTAATAGCTGCCATTTAATATTTATTGTGGCCCAGGCACAGGGCTAGGCAATTTTACATCTAGAATCCCACACACTTTTCCAGGTCACTTTCAGTGACTTCCCAGCTGCTAGGCCCATGGCTGCTTGTTGATCTTCCTGGTATCTCTGTGGCACGTCTCCCTGCCCATCCCACCTTCTCTGTTCACTGTCTTCTCTCTTCTGGATGTCAGGCACTGAGCTGGTGTTGGAGACCCTAGGACTTATAGCAAAACAGCCCCCTATTCTTGCCCATGGAACATATCCCGTGGCTGGCAGGCAGACAAGGGCTGTCGATTGGCAGGCAAGGTGGCTGCCAATTAAGCACCATGCTGGCTAGCCTTTAAGCACCATGTGTTGAATGTGTACATGGGGATTGGCTGCTTCCTCCCAGACTTGAGTCCCTGGCCCCTTGGGAAAGGCAGGACTGGAAGAGAAAGAGGGAGGGGAGGTAGAAACTGAGAAAGCGAGTAAGGGGAGAGGGGTCAGGCTGAAGGAGTGTGTCTCTTGGTTCCAGCAGAGTAGGGCAGCCAAAGTGGATGGGAATGGGGTGATACTAATCCTGATTCTGTGACTGGGGCCCAGCGGAATTAGCACAAATCTGCGTACCAGAGACACACTACCAGGACTCAAATTCAGAGCAGCGAGTAAGATCTCTGAGTTTAAAGTCTAGTGGAAGATAGATAAGTCAGCTGTTACTGCTAAGGTGGGCCTAAGAGCAAGGGGTCTAAAAAGCCCTGGGAGAAAGCCCATAACCCAATCTGGTGGGGTCAAAAAAAAATAGGGGGCCCTCCCTGGTGGTACAGCAGGTGAAATGCAGCACTATGCAGCTATCTGCAGCCACTGCACCATGAGTTAGATCCCTGGCCAGGGAGCTGACCCACATGGCACAGCAGCCCTCTCCTGACCGGCCCACTGCTCCCCTCAGCAGTGTATTTCATCAATCTGCCTACTCTGCTCCCCACTCTCTCTGGTGAATCCTCTCACTTTCTGCACCTTTGGCCTGTACCCCAGTTCTTGTACGCATAAATAAGTCTTTGGAAAAAAAAATGAACTGTTTGAAACCCGAAGAATGAGTAGATGAAGTGAGAAGAAAGAATGATCTAGACAGAAGAGATGGCTTTTGCAAAAACCTTGAGTCTAGAGGCTGGCTCGAGGCAATAGAAAAGTATCACTGGGGATTGAGCAGCGGAGAGATAAGACTGGAGAGTTAAGCCAAAGCAGATCATGCAAGAACTGGAAAGCCTCCAGAAGTAGAGAGGTATTGAAAGGTGGAGCAGGGAAAGTAAATCTGTTACTGAGACTAAACTGGGAGCCTCAGCTTCCTTATCTTTAAAATGGGTTGAATAGCATGGCTGAGAATTAAATGAGGTAATCCATGGAAAACAGTGGTTGGCACGCAGGTTATACATCATTCGGCTATGACCTTCCATTGCCAAGCCTTGCACATGACTCTGATGGCCATAACCACCTGCTGTCTTAAGTAAATATTTACTTAGGCATCTGTCTCCCCCACCGAGAAATGAAGCGTGAGAAAGACTATGTCTTAATCCCGTGGGGGTTTCCAGTTGCCAGCACAAAGCCTGGGGCATGGTGGTGCCTGGTGGGTGCCAGTCAAGGACTGAACGAGAACAAGGGGCTAGACAAAAGTGGTGGGGTTCAACCGCAGGAGCACCGGCACCACCTGCTAGAAGGGGTCGCGCTTCTGGGAAGATGGGCTCCCGTCCCAGCACTCCTCCCTACCTCTGACCCTGCCCCCCAGGAAATGCAACTTTTTCTGAGATAGCCCTGTGTGAGGAAGAATGGTAAGATGAAATGCTTTGAAAATCGTACTGAAAACGCGGGTGACACCCCCCCCCCCCAGGTTTTGACTGAGTGGCTTTCAACTGGAAAAGCAAAACGCCTTCTCTGAGACAGCTGGAGCTTTGTGGGTGAGCAGGTCGCAAGACCCAGGAGGAACCAGGCTGGGCTTGCACCCCAGGTTCGCAACACTCCTGTCTCAGTCATCATCAACTAGACTGGGGACCCACTGGAACCCCCGAGGGAGCTGGGGCAGGTCGTGCAGGCAACCTGGGGAGGAAAGCGATTCGTTGACATTTATCCCACAATTTCAAGAAAGAGGAGCCAAGGAGATGGGCGGAGGCGGGAGGGAAAGGAGGAGGAACGAGGTCTGGGGGCGGAGGGGTTAACTTGGGTTTAGCTAGCGGAGGAAGGGGCGGAATAAAGGGCCGGAGGCGGGCTCGCGGCGCGGCCTCCGGAAAACAACAGGCCCCGGCGAGCAATCGCTGGGTTAAGGGGGCGGGCCCGGGGGCGAAGCCACGTGCCGGGGCGAAAGCCTATTGGCTCGCCCGGAGTTGTTTGTGAGCGGCCATTGGCCGCGTCGGAGCGCCGCTACGAGCCCATTGGCCGGGGCCTGGAGGGCCGCCAGGCCCGGAGCCGGGAGGAGGCGGCCGAACCGCGTCGCTGGGCCGGGCTGGGCCCACCCGAGTGCGAGCGCTACGCGGAGCGCGGAGCCCGGAGCCCGAGCCCCCACCGCGGCCGCCGCCGCCATGCGCTGGCTCCGCGCGCTGCTCAAGAATGCGTCCCTGGCAGGGGCGCCCAAGTACATAGAGCACTTCAGCAAGTTCTCCCCGTCCCCGCTGTCCATGAAGCAGTTTCTGGACTTCGGTATGGAGTGGCGGGAGGTGGCTGGCTGGCAGCCGGGGCCGCGGGGAGCCGGGCGGGGTGAAGGAGGGGGCCGGGCCTGGACGGGCTCTGGCCGAGGGAAAGAGAGGCCCTGAGTGACAGGGAAGGGTGCTTCGAGGGGTCCAGGCAGGAAAGGGTTAACGCGGAGACCCGTCTGGTGGCCCGAAAAGATGACGCTTCCCAGGTTGCAGACGTTCTGACCGGACTGTTAATGGGAAGTGGGGGTCCCTGGGATCAGGGATCAGGTCCAGGGTGCTTTCCTGGGCTTTGTGAGGGGTCGTGGAGAGCAGGGGCAGCGAGGTGCCCAGTGTGTACCCAGGCACATTAATGGTGGTTGTCCCGGAGCCTCTCCCAGAGG